CTATCAGTGAGAGTAAACTGAAAACTAAATTTGATATCCATTTTCCTGTTGATAACAAAACAAGTATTCAATTTGATGTTATGCTAAGGCAATGAAAACAAACCCGCAACAACATATTTTTGAAGAACAAATTTACAGCAAAATGAAAACAAAATTAGGTATCAAATTTGTCAACTGCGTAAACTTAAATTAAATTATGATTTCAGTTTGATGTTGATATCAAAACTTGATTTCAATTTGCTGTCATTTTGATGCTGAACTTTGATCGGGTATGTTGCTATAGAAGCACGCCACAGTGGAAATCCCGAGTCATAGTTCAAACACTTATCCCAAATCAAAATGAAAAACCATGTACAAAAATTGTGTTTAACATTGTTCCCTGAGTAATACTTCAATGAAAACAACAATGAAAGCTTGTCACGCAAATAGAAGCTAGAAGGAGCACTGTTGGGCACTTTCTGAAATATTTCAATAATATAATTTGTAATTCCCTTGCAAACCCACATAAATCTATCTGCGTAAAAATAAATAAAATAAGAGTGATTTGCGGAAAAAACCCACCAGTATCGCACCCAATGCCTATACGTAAGCGTACTACAACGCGGCTTTCAAACAAAGGTGATACTCTAACTGCTAGACTAGATCTTTGGCTCTCTCATGTAGTGGTTCATCAGAGAGGGGAAGCTTAGTAATCCCCATTGCCTGCCCATGGCGCCATTCTATCGCGGCATGAGCCAGCAACGCCGGCCATAAACCTACCGTCTCCAACACTATAAAGCATGAAATTAAGCCCGCCCACCAGCAAAAAGGTGCAAAAACTAGGCAAGGGGAGGGAGGTAACTATGGAGAGCATTTTAATTATTAATTATTTAGAATACCGAGATGATTGTAGAGTAAATTCTAAGAATTTCCTAAAGGGGATTCCTAAAGAGGTATGTAGAGATTTTCTAATGTTGTTATGGACGAAAATTTCAAGGGAATGCCAGAAGAAATTATAAGATGATTCTGGGGAATCCTGAAAGCAACTCTGAAGACATCTTGGGATGATTATAATGAAATTCTTGAGAAAATTAAATAGACATCAAATGAAGAATTACATCATATATAAATCTTGAGCGTATCAGGGTAAATCAAACATTGAAACATTTGATAATTTACTTAAAATTCTGAGACCTCGAACAGTTGCAAAGATTTAGACGTGGGGCTTTAGATAGTGATAAAAACGTCGCTAGAATTATTCCACAGCCGCAGTCAGTTTATGAGCAAAAGAGGGACGCACATTTTTTGCCTGTAGACTTGGAGACATACTTCAAGTCTCCGCGTACATCGTACGGGTTAGGCAAAAGATGTGCGTCTATCTTTGAAAACTGTCGCATTAATGGCCCTTCGCTCAGTTTCAACATCTATTCAATTTTCATACTGCCGTACTCTAACGGAACTATCCACCTACTCTCTTCTAAAAGATCATTCTCTAAATTATCACACTAAAGCTTCATGTTAGCATTTCCAACCAACTCCAAAGATTTAAGATCCCCGTCTAAGAAAACTCTTCAAAAGGGAAGATAACAGAAACGTAATGACTGGTACACCTATCGTAAGTATGATTGGTTATGTGTTATGAGACGCTGAAATGGCTGAGACTAAGGACTTTTTTTTCTATCCTAAAGAAAATGAAGTATCTGAAAAATACAAGTCAGTTTTCATAGACAGCTAGAGCAAAGTACATAAAACAGAGGAAAAAACTACAAATAGTTAACAAGAATTCGATCAAAATGTATACATAGGGGAAATGGATGTAATGTCGGCCTAAATGCCCCAAATTTGGGCCCATACATAAATTTTCAATAGCGACCAAAAATATCCATTAGTACCGTTCCAATGACGCGTTCATCTAGATAAAATTGATAAATAGCAGATTTTTAGCGATGGGTCCAATCTTAGATCCATAGGCCAACATAAGAGCAGTTTCCCCTATATATTTTGAGAATCCAATTAAATTCCCGGTAATTTCTTGGTTTTCTCCTGTTGGTTTAGATTCCCGGTTCTCCCGGTTTTCCCGATTGAGTAGCCACCCTGATTTCTAAAGATTTGGAGGGAATTAACATGACTTTTCTGAAGCGATCCGGAAATCCTGAAAATAACTCAGCAGACATTTTATATTTCATATTTGAATTTCAGAGGATTTTAAATGCAGCCATTAAAATGCACAATAGTCACAAATCAGCATTGCCAATGCTTTTATAATAACGAGATAATAAAATAAACTCAAGATGCTTTATTGAAAATTAATTAAACCAGCACTCAAAATGCCGTATTGTCAGCATTAACTGCTACCAGTTCTGTAACCTCACTTTTTACCTGTTCACCAACTTTCAAAACCAGAGTTAATGCCATCTCGAATCGGTTGAAAAATACACTTAATCTTCTAGTTTACTCAATATCTAACTATTGCAAGCAATATTTTGATAATTGCTTATGTTTTGAGAGTCATGTCACGCAAATTTGGCCCATATTCAACCCCCTCCCCCCTTTGTCACATTTTTTATATGGACCTTAATTGTTTTTTGTAAGGCTCGTCACAGTTTCCAAAACCCCCCTCCTCCCTAAAAGTGTGACATAATTAATGGACGATCCCCTAGCAGTAAAGCAACCGTATATTTTGTCAACAGTGGTTTTTAAGTACCATTTACTGCTGCTAATGTCTTGATTTTAATGCTTCTTGGTAACTTGTGTTTCAGCTAGCGGGCACGAACTTTGGCCACAGAAACTGAAAGGACTGGAAGCCTTCCCACGCGCAAAATAGTATAAACATTAAATGTATGGATGGATTTCTAACATCCTCTAATCTTCTATCTTCTATATATATAAAAATGAATTTCTGTCTGTCTGTCTGACCCTTATAGACTCGGAAACTTCTGAACCGATTGGCGTGAAAATTTGTATACAGGGGTTTTTGGGGCCGTGGAAGGTTCTTATGATGGTTCGAGACGCCTCCCCCTTCTGTAAGGGGGGGCTCCCATACAAATGAAACAGAAATTTCTGCTTAACTCGAGAACTAATCAAGCAAATGGAACCAAATTAGGCATGTGGGGGCGAGTGTGGGGGTATAAGGAGATAATCATAGGGGGTAGCCCCTTAGATAATAGGTGGGGGGAGCTACGTACAATATAGCATGCTTTTTTTAAATCGGCGCATAAACTCAAGCTAATATTGAATTCCGAGCAAGACCGGGCACACTCAGCTAGTAACAAATAAATGCAATCGCAGTTCGTACAATGGACTGTAGCGTACAAGCAAGCTTTTCCAAAATAAATATTTTCGTTTAACTTTAAAACGTTCACGCGATGATTTTCTAGCCGCAGTGTATTTGGGTAACCAAACTTTGTTCGAAAAATTAACTTACATGAAAATATAAAAATTATATAAAAATCGTCGGAAGGACCACATTACAGAATCTTTTCATGCGGTGAGACATTGCAAAATCTACATATATTTGTCTGGGACACGTTTGGTTATGAATAGCGTCTAGTATAGCCAGTATAGCGTAACAAATCTTCTGTTGTTATTGCTAACACGTAGATGGCAAAACTTTCCAAACTACACGGAGATGAAAAACTACCCACAATTAAATACTTTTCCCTCAATTCCCGGGTTCAACCCAATAACCGAAATTTGAGTAAATCGCATATAGTAGTTTCCATTTAACACCAGCAAAAAATACTTACTCTTAAGTATATTCTACCCAAAACTACGTTTAATTCACGTAAATTTGAGAATATGCAATTTACTCAAAAGTAACTTATTGGGCTGAACTATATCGTTGGGCGAATCTCTCGTTCTTTTTTTGCCAACAATAACGAGTGCAAGTGAGAGGCTCAACTCAAAATAAAGTAAAAAGAACTCAAATGTTGGGTAGTATTTTTTCTCCGTGTACATACAAAACAATAGTTTTCTAACGCTTCTAACGTACCGCAGCAATATGGCTGTTTCCTCTGTAGCAAAACAAAGACTACGAAGGTTCAGGGTTTAAGAGTTTGTACTTAAGCTATGTGACAGTTAAGGGTAGGGGCGAGTGTCTTCGGTTCGTATGTGCATGAGCAAATGTCTACACAGGACAAAATCTAAAAAAAAAAAGAAAAAAAAAGTGTTTACGAAGTTTATAGCCATCCTCTAAGTATGTAACATTTCCAACTCGATTTTACGACTTCCCACCAGCCCATACACGGCCAATGCGAGCAGCCTAAACTTGAGTGAGTGAGTGAATTTTTTCTCGATTTTCCAGAAAAACTGCGTGGCCAATCAGAACGACTCAGCGATTCAATTGACTCAGAGCATTTTCTTTCCATACGAAATTTACTCATATTTGGGGAAACCTGCAGTTACTCATTAGCTATGAGTTCCTGCAAGTTTTCCCAAATATGAGTAAATTTCGTATGGAAAGAAAATGCTCTGAGTTAATTGAATTCAATCGCTGAGTCGTTATGATTGGCCGTGTGCTAGAAATGAGGAAAATTGAAGGATAAATCGCTAAGTCTATTAGGATCTATTAGTAGTCTAGGCTGAGAAAAAATTTCGTCGGTTTTCCTAACATTCAAGCAGTTTTTACGACACTTTCAGCTAATTTTGAGTCGAATTCGACTCAGTTATTGAGTGACTCTCATTGGAAGTGTACATTCGAAGGCGGTACGCCGATGATGCGCGCTGTCAGAGACAATGCGAAGTACCCAATTGCCTGAAAGGTCATAAAAACTGCTATTCGCTTAGCAGTTTCTTGTACTACTGGGACTGCTACGCTACCCATAATCGCATAGCTATCCTATATGAATAAGAAATCAAGCAAAACTAAAATCTATGCGACTATGGGGCACTATGCGAATGACGACCATACATACTTCTATGTTCGCAAATGTATTTTTTACTAGTCTCACATTTTTTGCGCTGCAATAGCACCAATCTTATGACTTTTGTACATCCAACATAGAAAACAAAATCTTACTCACCTAACTTAATGGGAAATGATTCATAAAAACTGTATCCTTAGGATCCTCTATAATCGACGAAAAGCAACCAACTCAAACCGGGTGCCGGTTCGCTGGTGATTTGCTGGCAGCGGTGACGACGGTGTTGTTTGCTGATGACAGTTGCTTATTGATGTGCGGGACTTAGGAAGTAAACTGGATTAATCCAGAGCGCGTCGTTTCCTGCAATAACTGATTTCCTCGCTATGCCTGGTTGAAGAAATCCGATATCACGACCAAACAATCATAATCCGGACACTCTCTTCCTTTTATTTTCTTCGTCGGACTCACACACTGGCACTCTTGCTTTTCTTTGTTTTCGCTCACGCTTTTTTGCTCCTCACTCAAACTCAACCAGCTCGGTCAGAAGATCACACAATTTCTTCTTACTACTTCTTTTTTTTTATGTTGCTCTGATCAAATATTCAGGTTTAACTTGCACTCCGGAGGCGCGCGCGCTCGTGTTGGTGATAGCCACTCACTTGTGCACTACTTTCTTCGGGTTACTTCCAGCTTCTCTTCTTCTTGTTTTTCCCCTTGCTTCGCCTGCACTGCACTTCTCAGAAACACACCAAAAAACGGAGACCTGAATGGAACACAGAGAGCATGTCAGAAATGAAAATCGTACGTAAAGATACAAGACACCAATCGTCGACGAAAAAACACAACCAGCTGCAGCTCGTGGTGTGGCAGAAGATCACGGAAAAGCTTGACGGTTTCCCAGCGAGGTTCCACTTTAGAACACAAACAACATCAATAACGAGCACAGCACAGTGCTACTTATCTGTCAGTGTGGAAGCGGTTTTGAATTAAAAAATGACGATTAAGCGAAACAATAGCTGATGAAGAGCATTCTTGCAAGCTGTGCAAGGTTCTGCTGCTTTACGGTAAAACGTTTTCCCACATGAGTAAGGTAGTGCTGCAGGTTACAGCAGTAGGTACAAGGGTTTGACTTGTTTAGTGAATATGATGGGTTCGTCGAAGTATGGTTACTTACAACTTTATTGCATTTCGGTGATCGATCCTTACTGACCAACTTTGTTTTGACCGGTTAGGGTCATGGGTTATGGTTGATATTGACATTGAGCTGACATTTTCGCGACAGAACTACAAACATATACGTCGAATTTTACGTGTACGAAATATAAAATTTGACTACGCAAAAAAAAGATAGCCGCAAAGAAGGCATGAAGTTCAATTTCCAAGTACATGCTTAAAAGATGATAGCAAACTTATTGATATTTTTTTCGAGTTATAATCAGTTGCAATGAAGATTGCATGTTTTATTATATCAAAGAAAAATATGGAAATTAAAAAAGCAAAATATGCGACTGATATGTGCTTACTTTGCTTGATGGGAAAAACTGACTTCGTGTTCTTTTCACATTTTTCACGATCAAAGTCCGCAGTTTTATTACATCATATAAAAGTATATGCCAATTGATAGTGCATAGCGTTGTTATCTCAAAATTGAATAAAATTCATATGGAAATGATAAGCTAGGCAGTACAGACCTAGAAGATCTGTAAATAATTATCTACTTTATTTAGGCATTAAAATGTTTTAAGATCCCGGATTCAAGATACAGAAAGAAAAAAAATATTCTGAGACTTCCAAAAGAGATCTCATGCTCACAACAAAATTTCTAAAATTATTTGTTTTTTTAAGATTCTATGGATTTTTTTTTCTTCTAGAAATTTTGATACCTACTCGAAAAAATAAATAAAACAAAATTCAAATAGCTCGTTAATGCAGACATTTCCTGGATTCTGTGACATACAAAGTTTATAAGGTTCTAAGACTAACATAAATATTTGAAAATCCGGACTTGACAAATACAAAGTGTCTGATACTTAGGATTTTTAAGGTTAGAATCATTTACGAAATTTTGATCTTGGGGTAGAACAATTTTTCAAAATTCAGCGATATTGCTAACTTTTTGAGATTAAACCTCAAAAAGCTCTATTCATTTCACGATAGTGACGAAAGCTGTTTTGTTAATATCAACTGCGGTGAACTACAGACATGTTAGGTTCAGAGGACATCGGAAATGAGGATCTGCGAAGTTCAGAGTTGTTCAGAAAACATCAGAGAAATTCAAAGAGCATCGGAGTTTTCCAGTGAGTTCCAGAAGTTTGCATGCACCATAAATGACCTACAGGGATATTTTTGAAACGTTAGATGTTCTGAGGTATCTGGGCATACTTTTCGATTGCGTGATCTTATTAGGAAAACATCTTTAATCGTTAGCGTTAGCGTTGTTATGATATACTTCGTAGATTGGATACTAGCGACACTCACGTCTCTTCTGAAATTCTCAGTTAGACTACTTTCAAGAATAATGCTGGGGAGTAAACATTGGTTCCAATCTAAACAAGAGTAACAGAAGCATGACTGTCGCTATTCCCGGTCACGCCCATCTTTACCATAACTAGGGATAGGGAAGGAAATGTTGATGTAGTACTTTCTTAATGAGAGGCCACCGACTTAGCGACACCCTCATAAGTGCTACGGAGTTGGAGGGTTCGGTAGGGTATTCGGTTAGGATTCACCTCAAGTTGGCGATGCAACCAAAAGTATGTATTGTTTATTTAATCTCTCGATAGCCGGCTATCGAAAGAACATATTCATTTTGTTTAGTGATCATAAATTTTAAGAGTTTTTTTTTCTGGAGATCTTGGGATTAAACCCATGATTTTCTGCTCAGTAAGCAAAAACGATAACCATAACGCTTCGCGACAATACAGGACTACGTTTTCGCTTGATATGCAAATAGTTTCCGAGGTTAATGTTCAATATCAAATATACAAATGATGGTTTCGATTTATTGTGCTGTGGAAGAGCTTGGGGTTAAATCCATGATTTTCTGCTCAGTAAGCAAAATCGATCCCTCCAGGGTCATCGAGCATCTCATAATCCACAACCAGGAATCTCAAAACCATTAGACGCTATAATGATACTCTGCACATGTTAGACACAAGAAGAGGCCAAAAAGCAAGCGTCCGACACACAAAACCCGCCAAATCCACTTGCAGTCACAATCAACGATTCTACGAATCGCGAGCGCTCACGAATCATAAAACCGCTGACTGCGACACTCTGAAAGCGAAATTGACAGGCTCTTTGCGTCAAACACCCGCCTTCAAATCTCCTCCCGCATCCAACAATACAAACCTCCACTACATTTACCTACATTTACATTGGGTAAGAAGAAGACATTTAACGAATAAAACTCAGAAAATCACTCATCTATAACAAGTGAGTGGAAGCAGCACTGCATGCAACCATTCTTCATGATACACTTTTCCTGCCTATCTTTCTATTAGGCCTGTGGACATGCGTTAGCTTCGAAACTTCTAACCAAACTGGGAAAATTTTCAGATCACAAAAAAAAATTGAAAAAAGCTTTCAAAGGTAATTACAAGTAAAATAAATATTGATTATTTTACGCAAAAACGAGCAAGTAATATTAAATCTCTTGTATCGTATGCTAATGCTAATTGACTAAATAAAATAAAATATTAATAAAATTATATGCAAAATTTACTATAAGATCATTACTTTGTTGGTGAGAAGTTTCTAATAAGCCCTCCCAGTTCCTCTGTATACAGAACAAAGCTGATACTATAGATATATAGAATTGCTCAGTCTGCATGAAGCAGCCGATTTCATCAAGGAAGTTCTATTAACAACCAAGAATTAATCGTTTGAGGCATACTGAAGCATTATGAAGGTGATATGTGCAGCTTGGGTACACATCCAGCGAAAATTGACGACGACGCTCGGCGGCTGGCAGAGGGTGAGCTTCGACGATCTTGTACGGCCAATCTTGGGTAACATGACAACAGCGAGAAGAAATTATATTTTAAAAACGTTCATTAAGTACATCAACTTTGTCAATGTGAATATTAATAATAGAATCGATGTAGACGAACTAGATTTCATTTTGACTCTAGAAGATTGATATATTTTTTAAATATCTTGAATATGTTATTTATTGCAAGACCTAAATAAACAATTTTCTACAAAAAAAAAAAAAAAAACTATAGGAAATCATCATCGTTGCAAATATAAAGAAATTAAACATAACCCTTTGCTTCAGTACCGTCAACCTCTATGTCCATGGGGAGGGATTAGGAAAACATCTTTAATCGTTCCCAAAAAGTCATGAAGTTTTGCGAAGGCTTCCATGTCAGTGTGATGGCGCTTAACAAAAAATATCCTAAGAAATTGTTTTAACTAAAGGGTTTTCCAAAAGGGATTTCCTAACTTTAACAGTTCATTGTGGCCATATTGTTAAAGCTCCAAGTGTCAAATTAGTTTTTTTATTCAGTGTGTCTTGCCAAATAACCATGGAGAGTTATAGCGTCCAACAGCACGTGCAAATGATAAAATTGTTTTTATCAAAGTAAGTGTTCTTTGCGAGCAACGTTCCGAGCGCTTCGCCTACTTTACAGTCGCAATAATCGTCCTACCGAGAGGACTATTCGCAATGTAGTGAAAAAATTCGAGGAAACTGGTTCGGTGAACGCTCAACCACCACCCGTACGTCAACGGAACGCAAAGGTCTGCCGAGAATATCGCCCCTGTACGCAAAAGTGTGCAGGAGAACCCGCGGCAGTCGATTCCGCGCCACGCACAAGAATTGGGCCTCTCGCAGGCTTCAACTTGGCGAATTCTGCGTCGAGACTTGGGTCTGCACCCATATAAGATCCAATTGACCCAGGAGCTAAGCTTAACGATCATAGATAGCGCCGTGTGTTCGCTGATTGGGGGAGCAATTGGAAATAGACCTCGATTTTGCCCGATAAATCTTCGCCCTTTTCTGGATGAACGGGTATGTGGACAAGTACAATTGTCGAATTTGGGACAAGGCAACGTGCCACACAGCTAGCGAAACAAACTACATTCTGCATGAGCGATTTGGGGACATGGATATTTCACGCGGAGGCGATGCCCGAGCAAAGTTGGATATCAAAATAATATCAAATTATGTTTTTGAAATCATATTGATCACATATTTTGATATACTACCTTTTAATTTTAGTTGAATTCATATTTTGATATTTCTGAAAAAAAAACTAAATTTGATATTTTATGAAAAGAGCATCCACATTTATCGTTAGAAATCTCTTAAGAGTCAATCAGCATGCTTGCAGTTTTCTTTATGAACATCACAAAGACAATTATGATTTTTACAGTTATAGTTTACCACATTTATTGATATTAATCTACCTGCGAATTTAATTTACATCGATATATAATAGATATCGAAAAAAGGTTTGTTTTTATTTTGAATAAATAAAAACTCATTATTAACATAGTTGAAGATGCTAATTTCAAATAACAGACTGTAGTGGTAATTTTTATACGATAGATGGAGTAGATGAAAGCATAGAGTTGATAGTTCCGTTAGAGTACGCAGTGTAAAGATTGCATATAGATATTAGAATAGCGAGCTAGGACAACTTTTAAGGAAGGTACAAATCGGTTTTGATATCAACCAATAGATTTCAAAACATTCAGATTATTAAATTTGATATCATGATATCAATTTAGTTTATTTTAATTTTTTTTTTGTTTTCCTTCCATAGTTATAATAACATATTGATTACTTATTTAATCTAATCTAATCTAATCTCACACTAACGCAGCCAATACTTTGAAAGCATCCTGGAAAATGACGGCTTCACGAATCCGTCATTGACTCAACTATTTTCTTGCACTCGGGTGCACACCTTATCGAAAGTATCGCTTTTTTATATCACGATCGAGGTTATCCCGGCAGGAAACAAAAGGATTCTTTTTAACTGGAGCATGTCGAATACAATAGCCATGGCAGGACCAACACAACCTTAAACAAATTTTGGAAAATTTCGAAATGGAAAATATACACAACCACATGAAAACACATTAACAGTCAACATGACACCTGGAGAACTATGAGATTTGGGCGTAATTGCTTTTCACGCGAATAAAAGAACAATCTCGCGAACAAACTACATAAAATGATGGAGAAACCATTCATCTACCTGTTTGCGTTGTTAGTTTTTTAGATTGAGCATTAATTCGCAAGAAATCGTCAAATCAGTGCCAACATTTCAAAGGGGCGTAATTGCATTTGTAAACAATGGCTTTAGTCGTGCTGCGAAAGCTCACTCATGAAAATGAATGACACCAGCATGCAGAGGTATGTTTCCTGTATCAGCTAGCATTTGTAATTTGGAGGGGTGGGTTTTCATTTGCGAGAAATCGACGTCTAAAGCCATTGTTTACAAAAGCAATTACGCCCCTTTGAAATGTTGGCACTGAAATGACGTGTTTGTTTACAAAAGCAATTACGCCCTAATCTCGAAGTTCTCCGGACACTCTCCCTAAAGCAAAACCCATCACCATGAAAACTCCATCATTACAACATTATAAACAGCGAAATTTTCTATAAGCATTTAATTTATGAAGCAACTTTTCTTTTTATTCCCGGTCGCGTACATAGCATTTTAAAAAATACGATTAGGCACAAATCCATTTGATACGCAACTTGCCGCTGAGTTCATTCAGAAATATCGGCAACAACCACTTTTACCTTGCACTATAGTAGATAAGCGCTGAGAAATTTGCCCAGTGAAGCTTATCCAAATGTATCACTTCTTTCAATAAATTTTCATATTAATTTTAAATTTGCCAGGACTATGGTTAGGCGCTAGATCTTATGTCATTAACGCACCACGAAAAGGGTATCTACCAGCGTTACTGATTTCTTATAAATAAGAAAATTTTCCGAGATGTAGTAGGCATGCTTGGCATACACAGTTTTGGTCACGAACTGCTCATTTGCTAATAACTTGGCACACAGTTGACAAAACATAGTTCTGTTTGAAGCAGTAGATAGAATAAAGTTTAAGCTTGTAATAGGTACGTAAGAAAAAGTAGATTTTAATTCTAGTAATAAACTGTATTTGTTTTTGCGTTGTAAAAATCAAGAGAGAAATGCTCGCTGCACATCTCGGACTTCAATTGTAAAAATTCATTGGTGTTGATTCAAATTTTAAGGTTTACCTATACCACAGACAAACAAACATAACTCTTAGAAGAAAATTCTTCGAAAAATATCGTCAAGCGTATTTTGCATGCGCACTAGCCATCTATCCATCCACATTCCCAAGCATTGTTTTGCAACCGGAGCATCCCTCGTTCATGCAATTTTTTCACTAGTTGCTTTTCCCACGTTCTGTCAACGCGTCAGCCGTGTTGAATAAAAACAAAACAGATGGAAGTCAGTGATGTCGGTTCTACGAAATTGTCCGTAGATCTATAGAACTGATTTAATTCTGCAGAAATACGGATCCGTAGGAAAAATTCACAGAAGCTGAGACTTCTTTTTTAGGGATTTGTTTTGTTTGTTTATTGTGCTTTTTCTTTTGCTAGAAATAAGTTTTTAAACGAGGTAATGTATCACTTATTAGTGCCCTTTCTAAATAAAGATGTATCATTGTAATATGTATCAATCAATGATATTCATGGTGAAGTATTGAACATCAATAACTGGTAAAAGTTCATAGAATATTACAGTCATCAACATGATTTGTTCTCGAATTCTGTCTATATCGTAAAACGTAATATTAGGAACGGAATGACTAATGTGCAGCAGATTTGATGTAATATTCAACTACTTTTTTTTGTATTCGTCAGATGTGGTATGTGCCTCCAGTGACCACTTATCATTTTCAAGAGCTGACATCTACTAACTAGACGTGAAAAAGAACTGGCATCACTGATAAGTTCGAAACAGTGGCGTCGCGTAACCTCACTTTTTACCTGTTCAACAACTTTGAAAACGTTATTTAGGGGCATGCTTACATTCAAATCAGTTTCAAAAGGCACAAGATCTTCTAGTTTCACTGATTTGTATCCATTGGAATCAATATTGTTTTATTTGTTTACGTTTTGTGAGTTGTTGAACAGGTAGATTGAGGTTAGGGCGACGCCACTGGTTCGAAATGTGGTGGCTTGCTCAATGCTTCAGTGGCGCCACCATGACAAATGCAAGCACATTCCCAACTAAAACATTAATTACGATGAATGTGATTGTGAGTTTTATGTCTGTTTGTCTGTGCCTATACTTTGCATATCTATTTTTTTCCTCTGTTCGGGACCAAACACTATTGCGACCAGTAAATTGATCTATTGTAGTATATCCCGTGTCCTTAGTTTAGTGCATGTCGTATTACTCCATCACTATTGAGAAATGATGTAGTATTCGATTTTTTTACAGTTGCCATTTATCGCAAGGATGCGACTAATTGAAAAGTCCCGCTATTTATACCCTTCGGAGTGTTGAAACATCCTCCAAAGACGCGCCCCTTTGTCAGTCAAAATTGGATTCCTTAGCAACAAAATTAAGGTATGACACCGATAATGACCATGCATCAGAACCCTAGTCTTAACTACTTCAAACTAGGGAACAACGAATAGAAGATTAGGAATCACATAGATGAAGACAACTACTCATTTTTTTTTCTTGTTTCAAGATCGTCCTCGGTAGACAAAGCCGATTCTTGTCACTATCAAAAAGGCATAAAAAGTAACAAGGACTAAGATGTGTTCCTTGGATTACTGAAAAATCCTGTTCCCCTAGTATGAAGTAGTCAGGACTAGGAATCGGTGGTAGATCTTACATCCTGTAACGTACCACGAAAAGGTGATCTACTCACGTAACGGGGATTGCATATCTATAGTAAGCTATGATCCTGATCTATCAATTACTTTAAAGAAAATCAATTTTTCAATAGCTGAGTGAAAAGTTATTAATAAATGAGCAGTGTGCATGCCAAGCATGGTAGTAGGTTTATTTAAAAAATCAGATTTTGACCATTCCTTGTACTCAGGTCATGGAGATTGTCAACTTTTGTTTACTATTTTCGTTTGAAACTTATAGCAAACTTAAAAATAATACAATGTTATGTGTACCAATAGAAAGTAGACATAATTCCATTAATTAATTTTGTCAATTAATAGTTCTGAATATATCAATTACAATATGCAATTTAAACTAGAAGTAAAACAGTTCGTAACGCGACGCGCGACCTAAAACTGGTATGATTTTTTTTTCGACTTAGTGTTGACAAAATTTGTTCGAGGTACACCCCATGAATCTAAAATAAAATATGTAATGCACAACTGCAGATTTCGAACAAAACTTTAATCCTTCAACAAATTATAGGAATCCGGCGATCAAAACACAGATATCCTGACCGCCGCCTAAATGTTCGGGTAATCCAGTTTATTTCATTAACTGTAACCATCGCGTCCTGTTTGGCCATCACAAACGTATTTCAAGATTCTGCAATTAAGGCACCCTATTTTCATCTTATGCAAACCCAAATCGTATCCACTACACAGAATCTTACCCTATAAGTACACTGCGCTTCCCTGCTTCACTCTCTGTCTCTTGTAGACACCGTATAGAGACGCACTCAAACGTCACCCGTAAACGTCAAAAACTATCACTTCCCCGTATCGTCACTGACACATTGGTAACTACGAACAAGTTAGTAGCCCATGTTCCTCCTCTCGTTCTTCTCACGGATTCTCCCAAAAACATTGACGTCCTCCGAAAGATTCTCACATAAATAATCCCCCTACACCTAATATGTTTAGGCTATGAGGCTACGCTTCCTCCCATCCAACAGCACCACTTTTTCATTTCTCTTTGCAATACAGGAGCAGCTTCTTCCTAAGCGTCTCAACCAGCGTACAAGAAATCATCGGCCGTTCCGGAAACCAAAATCCCACCAAATCTGCAATCACCAATCGTCCTGACTGTGATTTTCCGCGCACACAGGCACTTGCCACACACACTTCAGCCAGTTCCACGTCTCTGTGCTGGAACCGTTTTTCCTTTTTTCTTCGCGCTGCTCCGTCCGTCAATCGATTAGCTCCTCTTCGCTGGGTTTTCCTCCAGCATAAAAGCGAGAAAAAAAAAACCTCAATCCACTTTTTACTTTTCCTTGCTTCTGCCACTACCACTATTGCTTCTTCTGCTTTTGGGATTGTCCTGTCCTGCCAAATAGCGAAACGTGAACTTTTGGGACCACTTTTCGAGAACCGTGCCAGTCTTACTCGATGGGAAAGGGAATCCCTCACCACACACGACAGGGGCAAGCAGCGCAGCAACACACACACACGAAAAATAGAGGAACAAAAATGATGCACCCCGTTTGAACCGATTCCGAACCGGAATCAACCCGTTTTTACCGTAGATTCCACACTGTACCACTGCCGCACCGAAATGGTTCAACTTTTCACAAGAAAAACGCGAAAAACTGATCGAAAATTGCGAACAATTGCTCTTGCAAAAGGGAGTTCAATTTCAAACAATGGCTGACATATTGGAATATGTGCGAGATACGGAACCGTGAGAGGCAATTTTTTTTGTTGCGTGAACGAGAGCGGGCGAATGTCGAGCGGGGAACGCTTGCGGAGCGCGTCACGAGCGAGCGAATTCGCCAGATCAAAATGGCAGCACGACGAAAACGGCACAGATAAGTAAAAAGAAAGACAAAATTTGATATCAGATCAAATCTTATCACAATAAAATAAAAACACACAGCAAAAAAAAGTTGGATACGGCTACCATAATAAAAATTGTATGGTTAATTTGCTTAACGACGTGTTCTGGGTATCATCCAAACCATTTGTGGAATAGTTCAATGATTTGGGTTATCATTCGTTTATGGTTATTTTTTTATTAGGGTATCCAGAAAACGCAGCTGTCTTATGGATGCCTAATGATTTTTTTCAGCTGAATTTTGTGTTTACCGGGAAATTTTGGCAGTTCACTTTCCCTAATAAAAAATACCCTACCCGAACGATAAACCAAATGATAGAACTATTCCACAAATGGTTTGGATAATTCACGATGCTATATATGTACTGAATATCATTGCCAACAGATCAATACACTTCTTCTTCTTCTTCGCATTTCAAGCTTATTGCATATCGCATATTAGCAGGGGGAACGTCACTCGTTTGGATGTATTTTTTCATTCTAGTAATTACTTGGAGTTTTCGGGGAAAAACATAGGGATTTTTTTGGAGTATGTCGTGTTGACGAAAATAGAGCACGGATAGAAAAAATAGATGGGATAGATTCGAGGGGGGCGACACATCTAAATCTCAATTCTAGATGCTCAACAAATCTCACACTAGCGAATCAATCTTCGAAAAATCTTCAATCATTTCTTCCATCTACTTGCATCGCACATCATCTTTTTGCAGGAAATCTTCAGAATCGTCATCAATCTTTTTTCTATCTACTCAGTGTGCATGCAGCTAACCACAGCAAAACACAATTTTTCCTGCATCGTAGATAGAGTCGCCCCCCTCGGATAGATCAGGGAATGAATGTGATGTGAGGGGTGTTAAAAAGTTTCAGAGGAATACAAGTCCGAACGCGAAGAGGATAGGTGACGCTTATAGGGGGAGGGAGGGTCACCTATATCGTTACGAGTTATTACATAGGGGAGGAGGAGTAAAGCTTTCGGTTACGTAACAACGAGAACATTTTGTTTTTTTTTTTTTATTTCTTGATGTAAAGTTTGGCTTTGCTTTGGTACTATCTTCGGTCCCAAGCTAACCGATGCACCTCTGGAAACATAGGAAAATCCACGAACCCCTAATTTTATTTGTAAAACTTTCATAGCGAATCAAAACAAACATAGTGTAGTACTGGAATTTATACTAGATTGTTAATCGATTTGCTTGGGACCAATAGGCTAGTCAAGTAGTGAGCCAATTTAAAATCGTTAGTTTCGTTTTGATTGTTGATGGTACGCTGATCTTTTGTTTTTTTTTCTAATATTAATAATACAGTTACCTAAAATAAAAAAGACATACCGGGATCAAAAATTAATGAAATAAGATTGTATTTTAGAGCGTTACGAAATAAATAGAGGGGGATCATTTTCAGTGTAACATTTTGTTCTAAAGGGGAGGGGGGTCGAAAATATTGATTTTTAGCGTAACGTAATTAATGGACACCGCCCAATAATGTTAACCAAAGATCACATCAGCTCAAGTGCAGAAAACGGTTCCGTACCAAATAGGTCGAAACTGCACAGTAGGAGAAACGGGTGGTGGCGATAGATCACTAGGTTCCGGTTAATATTCCCAGCTGTATTTGGACGGGAATTTGATTCACTATATTCTCGCACAGAAACTCCATCAGCCGGTGGGTGTCTTTCTTTGCCATTAGCTATTTCTTCTCCGAATCCTTGACCAGCAGCAGCAACGAGTAAAAATTGGACTGAGTGGAAAAAATGACCTGAATTCCTTTTCCACCTGCTTGTCGTTACTTCCATGCTACAACACACAGACAACTGGGCTCTTATCCGTCGAAGTCGGTCGCCCGAAAAAAAAAATTACAGTGAAATTTTCAGTGGAAACAATGCTCTAACATTAATATTTATAATCGACAATAGAAATGATTATTATAATGTTGCATCCTTCCAAAAACGGCAAAAGTGTTACCTAGATGTACAATGAAGGTACATAATAAAATGTTGTTACAATGATTTTTATCGTATTTTTCATTTATTTTATTGTTAACATGATTCGATCATGAACAATAATGAACAACTCTATTACAATAAAAATTGTTGTTACATTAAATATCGATGTGTTTTCATTGTAGGTTACGTCACGAACAATAAAAATAAATCTAATTGAAGCATGCAGACTATGAGAGGGTCAGCAACACTGCCAATGTAATCAAGATAGGCGCTGCCCGTATGGTTCTGGCTTTGACAGTTCGTTTGGCTGACCGATATCGGACTTGCTCTATTCGTTACCAAGTCAACGACCAGATCGGGTTGAGTTGAATTCAACTCACCTGCCTCATCTAAATCCCGCTTAATGCAGACCTTTTCCGTGCAGTCAATAATCATACAATAAAAATTAAAAAAAATCCACCACTTGAAGATGTCAGGAAGGAATTCTCAGGTGGAAGCATACTTCATGGGCGATTCTCTCTAGTCGAATGTATTAACTTATCAACGACGCTCAACCACCAAGGAGGCGTGACCTAGGGAGATCGAGTGCAGGGGAGTTGGCCTGAATTTCTCACAAGTTCCGGATCGAATCTCAATCCAAAACCAGTAAAAAAATGACTCACCCGTAACAGACATACTACCAACAATCAATACGAAACTAACGATTTTAAATTGGCTCACCACTTTAGTAGCCTATTGGTCCCAAGCAAACGATTAACGTACCCTATTCTAGTTGAAATTCTATTACTACACTATGTTTGTTTTGATTCGCTATGAAAGTTTGACAGATAACATCAGGGGTGTGTGGATTCATGCAGAACATGCAGGGGTGAGTGAAATAGCTTGGGTCTGCTTGGGACCGTTGTTCTGGTACTGAGTGAGCCAAAAATAATAATGATTTTCTTCGGGACCCAGTGGTCTTAGAGTTACCTCTATGATACTACTCCCTTCCCTTCCCGGGGCGATGTTTTATTTTTTTCGATTTTTTGATAAAGTCGATAAAGTAGATATGTCCAGCCAACACATACACTCTAAAGTACACTGTTATTTTTTAATCAATAAATCCGCCAACCAACAGTAAAATAACAATAATATATACTGTTATTGAAAAAAAATTATATGGGGATATCTCGAAAAATTCATTGTTAAGATACTTAACAACCCCCCTTTTTTATTGTAAATTTTCCATTTACCATGAAATTTACTGTTTAGTACAACATAAATCAAGGTAAATTTATTGTAGACGTAACAATATAAATCATTGTTAAGACAATAATTTTCGTCTTATTGTTACATTGTTTTTTAATGTATTTTTGTTATTTTTTTCGGGCGGTTTGAGTCCGGGAAATGGATGTGCGTTGTCGTCTTCTCCGTGATGCACTTGATGTTGTCCCGCGACCGATTTCAGACGAGTGGTTCGTCATCTTTTTTTAAGCTTTCGCACCGATTTTTAACCCGCTGGCTATGACATACATGGTGTTTGTTGTGGAGATTGTTGAAAACTGACAGTGAGTGTTCAGTCCGTGCACCGGCAGCGGGCTGAAATTTGAAGAAGAGGAGGAATTTGCGACAGCCACGAAGACCACCAATCAGAGCGCAGCAGCCGAACCAACGCAGATATAAAAACACGCGCTGCTGTGCGCTCAGGACACAGTTTTACGCAAGTCACGAAAGAGTAAACATCGAGCCGAAGAGACAACCCGAAGAAGAAAACGAATCGCCAGCAGCAGCAGCAGCAGTCGGCCGCGAGATCGACCTGACCCAAGCAGTAGCAGTCGGTCGGCGACAGCTTGGCGCGGCGCAGCAAATAGCAACAATAGCAGCAGCAGTCATCGTCGTTCGGTTCCAATCGGCAGGGCCCGATTCCCGGACGGCGTACTAGTGTTAGTGTGTAGAAACGAAGAGAAATCAATGTAGAAGAAAAAGTGAAATAACAACAACATGAACAAGTAAAGAAGTGTGTGTGCCTATGTGTTCTGCTCCGATACTTGCTCCCTTTCCATTTACCACGACCACAACCAACCGGCTCTTTTCAGAGCCAATAAGAGTTTATGTTTTGAATTTTCCGGCCAACCGTGGCCATCTTGGAGATCCATCGTTCCGCCTTGCGAGGCATCCCAGAGAGGAAGCGTGAAGCTTCCGAGGCAGCCAGTCACCAGACCTGCCTCCACCGAGAAGGCAACCATCGGCGTTGTCCATCCGTGGCCCAATCCCACAGGGGGAGCGGGCACCTATCCGAAAAATCACCACCCGAGGAAAGTTTATGAGCATACAGTCCACTGGCATCCTACAGTGAGTATGGCAGAGTGCTTCGTGGTCGACCTGAAAACTTCGAGAAACTGCACGGCTTGCTTGACAATTTGTGTGCATGCAGAAGGGATAAGTTGGAAATAGAAAGAATAGATAGGATGGATTGAAATTTAACGTAAAAATTTTATGAAAGGTTTTGGTAAAAATGGGATAATCCTGAAGTGTTGTTCCCCCTGCATATTAGCTTATTGCGTACTCTCAAGTTAGTGTTCTAAATGCACTTCCACAGTTATTAATTGAGAGCTTTCGATGCCTGTACCATTTTTGCATTGGTATAATTGTGTGGCAAGTCCAATCATACTTCTATGCCCAGGGAAGTCGAAAAATTTTTTTTTGATTGCCAAGTACTCAACACCACTGGTGGTGTCTGCAAGTAGTGGACGAAATACGCGTATCTGTCAAAAGATAAGCAATTATAACGGAATTTAAAGGAAATAAACCAACACACTCAAAGCTCTTCATGAATAAAGATGTTATTTAATATAATAAAAATGGAAATATAATTGATAAATATAATTGAAATTTTCAATA